TTTTTTTGGGGGGTCTACTTTCGGTCCTCAAGTTCTGAAGTCAAGGATAAGGATGACGTGAGGGTTTTAGTCAAAAGGAGCCAACACCAAATGAGCATGAAAATATTTAATCTCTGTAGCTTTGTGTCATAATCTGTTTCCCTGCACATTCCTCCATGTCATCCATGCCCACGCCACACTTATGATAAGAAAAAGGGGCTTAGAAATCACTCCTTAAAATACTAATCCAAGGCTGGTGGTTTATTTGCATGCATTTGCCCCAATAACTTGACGGGAAGGTTTGAAGATGAGCAACAACTTGGAAAGTTTGCAACTGAATAACTTACATTTTGTTGCGAAAGTACACTATATTTTGGGTGCAGCATCCTTTAACTGGCCGGTGTTATTGAGATTTGTAATTCAGTTATTGAATATTATTGCCTCTGCTTGTTTCTGCATCATTCGGTTCGATTTTCTTGTCTTGCGACCTCTGTTACCTGATGCCGGCATTTACTTTCCAGTGGGCATTTAAATTCCTGCGGTTTATTTGCTGTAGTCTTCAGCTTCTGAAATCAATCATTGATATAATTGCTTTTACAGGTTTATTACTTTTGAAATCGGTAGCCTATCATAGTTGTGTTAATATGATATTACCCAGAGCTTGTTTCAATTGTAAGTTGATCGAAAAAGCAAAGATTGCATTTCCCTTGGGATTTTATGGGCCAGGAGTTTAGCAGGTGCATTATCTTCAAACTATTGACATTAACAAGACTGTCTTATGGCCGTTCTTTTTAGGAGAATTTCAGTGTAGATGGCATCTTAAAGCGTTTTCCACACTTGGTGTTTTACATTCTTACAGTTACGTGTTACGTCTCAGCAACCCAACAATAGCAATGCTGCCAGATTTATAATGCTGACATTAAAAATAGCTCCTTTAAAAAAAATGCACTTTGCTAGCGATAACACACAAAAATTCAAGGCACAAGGGCTTCAAAGTCATCACCTCTGCTTTAGTTTTAATCATTATGTGTATATTAACCCAAAATGTTGTTGAAGTATCCAGGCAGCCTGTGTTTCATGCTTGTCCATCTGTTTCTCGTAACAGTGCCTTGGTAACTCTATATGTGGTGTATCCAATCTCTTCTTATTGCTCTGTTTGTATTATTATTGCACACTGGTCAAGAGTTGCCAGTTGCTAGGGGAGAATTTCAAAGACGCAGCTTCTTTTTTTTTCCTGGTTGAGAGTCAAGTCTTTGTTTTTCTCAGCTTAAGAGAATCACACGAACACAAAAATAATAACCAGCACCCCAAAACATGTCATTAATTTATATCTTCACAAATTCCTTTAGGTTAGAACCTGCACTTTAAGGGAGCAAGTAAACACTCTTTTCTTTGGCCTTCATGCTAGCATGTGTCATGAGAGTATTCTTATATTGTGATTATTATTCACGTCACAAAACCTACGGTGCTGCTATGCCAAAGTAAAAGGCATCAGCCTATTTTATATACATATATAGAGAGACATCCAGCCAAAATCAAAAGCATTACAGCATTTATGATATTATTGATAGGATTTAGCAATGCTAACTGTGAATTAGCTGAAACACCCAGCACATTCTTGTTGGCGTTCAAGTCTGTAACCGTGTCGTCATTGTACTGATGTGAAGAACTCTGCCTGGCAGCCCTCTGCATAATTTATACTCATCCTGATAGAATCACACATACATTTGTTAAAATGGAGACCCGCACCTCAGTTAATTTACATTCTCGAATATTACCTTCGGATATTTGTGATGAGTATATAGCAACCCTTTTCGTCAAAGGTTTTGTTGGCATGATGTGACAGTGAGCTTGAAGCAAAGATAATTGCGAAAACTTGGATGATCATGTCAAGACTACATTGTAGTGTCAATGTTTTTGTCTCATTTATCAGGCTTCAAAAAAAGATGAGAAGTTTGGATGTAGACAATATCGGGACTGCACTGAAAGTATTTTTAATTTTGGAAATATCTATGCTATACTGCTATACATATGGTGAACACCCAACAAACTGCGGAACTAAACTAGTCATGTTCCTTTTTTTAAAAACTTATCGGAAAAACTTCACCCCTAAAAGACTGCATATCAGTATATTTGAATTGCACACTGCAGCTTATATTGAATAAGTATATGAAAATGTACTACAGGATGAACATATCAGTTTTGTGTGGAGGTCAATGTGAAAATATCTTGGTATGTACTTTTTTTT